TACTTTGCTTATGAAAATAGTCTCAAGCTGTGTCATTTATAAATATCTAAATGTGGAACATGGCGGATAGATAGCAGATACTATGGAGGCTCTCTGAAAGGCTTGGTTCAGAAGTCAGGAATGGTGTGGACTAAGGAGACATAAGTCGGTGGAGATATGCTCTGCTGACTCAGGAATGAACTGGGCTGAGAGAAACCAACTTGGAATGCAGTCCTGGCGCTAAAACAGGAACAGAAAAGCCTTGGTGTGGAGGCTGGACCCCGTGCCATTGGAAGCCGCAATTTGGGTTTCTCGCCGCGCGGCGGCTGGCTGCCTCTACATCAGCTCAGCAAGGAGAGAGACGTACGGGAGCTCTGAGAATGGGAGTCTGCGAACGGAGTCGAAAACAGGACGGGCAGGGAGGCGTACACTGACTTGTGGTGAGGTGAGTGAGAGAAACTGACACTCTACCACAGTGTGACTCCAGCGGAGGACTTTCTGGGCCGGGGCAGTCCTGCGGGAGCAGGGCGCGGTGGCGACTCCAGCCACACATCCCCCTCTCAGATGGGATTGGTGAAAAGTGCCTGGCCTGCGTGAGGCTGCTGGCGGACCCGGTAGGCTGGCCCAACCCAGATCCCAGAGCCTGAGGGTGGCTGGGAGGGGCGGGCCCCACGTAGGCTGCCTGATCTGCAACTTCCTGGTGTGCTGAGGTGGGTGGGAACACCTAACCAGAGCAATTCGATCAGGCTGTGGCTGACAGGGAGAGAAGCTGGGTCTCCTATGTAAGCTTGCATATATAAGGAACGGAGAATATGGGAAGAGGCAGCAACAAGAAGGGCTCCTCGGCCCCCAATTCTGAGAATCAGGCAATAGCGGACACCGCACCAATAGACATAAAGCGCCATATAGAGAGCCTCATAGACCAATTCAGGAATGAAGCTAGAACGACCTGAAGCTAGAAGTATGCAGAATAGTTAGAGAAATGCTAAGCACCACCCAGGAAAAAATAGATAGTGGAATGGAAGAACAGAAAAAGAGGGGAGAATTGTTTGATGGAGAAAACAGAGAAAGCATAGAGTACGTGAAGCAGGTTCAAAGGGACTACCAAGAAACTAAGAAGTCTATCCAAGACTGGCATAACAGCTTGAAAGAAACTAAGGACAGACTATCTGAACTGGAGGGCAGACTTGTAATATGGGAGAATGAAATGAAAAACTTCTTAAAAATAACAAAGAAACAAACAGCAATAATACAAAGACAAGAAGATGATAAGAGGAGCCATAATTTAAGGATTAAGAACATAAAAGAAGTAGGGACACAAACAAGTGAACTACAAAAGCTACTCACAGAAATAATCCAGGAGAATTTTCCTAATTTAGCAAAAGGTAAAGATACTCAGATGTATGAGGCATACAGGACCCCAGCTACCTACAACCCAAACAGAGCAACACCCAGGCATATAATAATAAAAATTCCAGAAATTTAATACAAGAACAGAATATTAAAAGCTGTCAGAGACAAGAAACAGACCACTTACAAGGGAACACCCATCAGAATTACAGCAGATTTCTCTGCACAAACCATCAAATCACGAAGAGCGTGGGGGGAAATAATTCAAGCTTTGAAAGATAATAATCTCCAGCCAAGATTGAGATATACTGCACAACTGTCCCTGGAAATTGATGGAAAAACAAGGTGCTTCCAGATAAAGAGGAACTGGGGGAATTTGCAACCACCAATTCAACTCTACAGAAAGTATTGCAGGATATTCTAAAAAAAGAAAAATACAAAGAACCCAGAAATAGTGGCGGGGAGGCCACAATGAATGGAGCAGAGAACAAAATGAAGAAGACAAACTGACAGCTACTGACAGAAAAAGAGCTCAACAGAAATGAGACAGAGGAGATTGGATGATGGGAACAGCTATTTTGGAGAAAATGACATCTTAATAGGTAATACTGATTTAGTATCATCTTGTTTTGAAGTCTCATCTAGCTTTTGTTCTTCTGTCTCCAATGGTCTAAATAGGTTGTATCTTATTGGATCTTATTATGTATGATAGTATAAGCAAAAACCTTTTAAAGACAAGGAGATTATACAGAAACCATTGTTCATTTTCTGTTAGTCGATTCTAAACACTCTGTAATGCTGTCATTCTCTTAAATAGTTTTACATTGTTTTGATATACTCAATGCTACAGTATTCGAAGTTGTACTCAAGGATTTCAAGGAAAGAGTCAATATGGTAATTACTTTTGGGTCGGGATTATCTGGTGGTGGAACACTATTCTGCTTAAATGGTTATGTTTTGATCTGCGCTGTTTTGCTGTTATGCCCTCTTTTATCTCAATCTCCACTCCATTATTTACTTTTTTATTTTTATCCGTTTAATTAAAGGGAAAAAATAGCAGGATATATTATAGTAACCCACTTTGACTTTCTATTATCTCGATTTGAAGCCCTGTATTACTCTCACCATCTTGTTCTTGACTGATGTTTTGCTGGATAGTATCAGGTTCGAAAGTTTAGGCATCAGCTGTGAAGATAATGAGATTCATTATAACGCCCATTCTCATTGACTTTTATCTACTTCTGAAGACCTACAATGTCTCCAATGTTTTGGTTTTGTCGGTTTTGTTCAATTGTATTATAACTAATGATATAGGCAATTCTATTAGAGATAGCGGGAGGCATTATGGTAACCATTGTTGACCACCTTGTATTATGTTTTTACATTATTATTTCTACCCTTTTGACTTGACCGATTCTGTTGTTATGTCACATTTGGTTTTAATCTCTTCCAAAAAAGCAATAAGAACCGTGGGAGCAATGAAACCCAAACTGTGTAATAGTCATTGTACAAAAGAGAGGGAAAGAAAGTGCTCAAACTATATAACTGCATGTATATTTAAGTGTATAAGATAGAAAATGATATCACAGAGTTTTATTGGATCATTGAACAGAACTGTTTGCAGTATCATTGTTGGAATGTCCACTCTACAAGCTTTAATTTTGTGACTTGAACAATTATTTTTAAGATGGCAATATGTAATCCATTAACTAGTGATTTCCTACTGTTCATTTTTTTCTGTAAATCTGTATAACTTGTACCCTTTCACTGTTTTTTTTCTTTTCTCCTTAAATAAAATTTAAAAAAAATCTAAATGTAATCGTTCTTTATAGCTGAGTAGTACTCCATTTGTCATGGTTTATGTCTGTGTCCCCCAGGCCTCACAAGTTTGCATTGTGCATTCTTGATTGGTTCATTGTCTATCTGGATTGATAGTGTCAGTGCTACACCCACATAGGGGTGGAGCAGGATGTGATGCAATGGTAGAAAGAAAGGGTGTCTGGCTCTTTTGCCAGTTTCAGCCTTGCTGTTTGCAGCCACCAGGAACTGTGGCCCAGCTATGCCCATCTGCCTTGGAGCCAACTGAGTATGGATTGAAATCTCCCAAAACTGTAAGAAATAAACCTTTCCTTTCCCAACTTTGGGCTTCAGGTATTGTCTCAGTGATGAGTAAAAAGTAACTAAGACAAAATTGTAAAAAATACCACAATTTTTTTATCCATTCTCAGTTGATGGACATTTATGTTGTGTCCAAGATCTGGCTATTACAAATTATACTGCTATAAACATGGGTGCACAAATGTCACTATGGTATGATGTTTTCAGTTCTTCTGGGAATATGCCTAAAAGTGGAATAGCTGGAACAAATGGGACTTCCAATCCTAGTTTTCTGAGAAATCTCCAGACTGACCTCCACAATGTTTGCACCAGTCTACACTCCCACCAACAGTGCAGGAGAATTCCTTTTACACCACAGCCTCTCCAGCATTTGTTGTTGTAGTTTTCTTGATCCTGGCCATTCTTTCTGGAGTGAGATGAAATCTCAGTGTGGTATGAATTTGCATTTCTTTAATGAGTAATGATGATAAACATTTTTTCATGTATTTATTTGCCATTTGTATTTCTTCATCTGAGAATTGTGTATTCATATCAGATGCCCATTTTTGGATTGGAGCTTTGAATTTTGGGGGTCTGACTTTTTTTAGTTCTTTATATGTTTTAGACAGAAGTCCTTTGTCTGAGGAGCAGTTCACTAAGATTGTTTCCCAGTTTGAACACTTTCTCTTCACTATTCTAGAGATTTCTTTTGATATGCAGAAACTTTTTAATAAGACATGATCCCAGTTGTTGACTATGGGAAATATTTCCCGTGCAGTTTGATTCCTGTTCTTGAATTCTCTATCTACCCCTATGTCTTCAAATTTTTACCCAATTTGTCTTCCAATAGATTTAGTGTTTCTGTTTTTTTATATTCAGATCTTTGATCCATTTAGCTTTTAATTTAGTACATGGTGATAGGCATGGGTCTAGTTTTAGTTTTCAGTATATGGAGAGCCAGTTTTCCCAACACCATTTATTAAAGAGACTGTTGTTTTTCAAGTTGACATGTTTGGCCCCTTTATCAAAGATAAGGTGGTTGAGTGTGTTATTTTAATCTATTCCATTGATCTTTTGCTCTGTTTTGATTCCAGTACCATGTTGGTTTTACTACAGTTGCTTTGTAGTATAACTTCAAGTCAGGGATTGTGATGCCTTCTGCCTTGTCTTTGCTGCTTAGAATTGTCTTTGTTATTCTAGGTCTCTTCTGGTTCTAGATGAATTTTAGGAGTGATTTCTCTAGATGTATGATGTATGTTCATTGTATTTTTACTGAGATCACATTGAATCTGTATAACAGTTTTGGGAGATTGGCCACTTTCACACTATTTATTCTTCCTATCTATAAACAAGGGATGTCTTTCCATTTTCTGAGATTCTCTTCGATTTCTCTTTTTAGTTTATTATAATTTTCCCTATATAGATGTTTCACTGTTTTCATGAGAACAATTCTTAATATTTCATTTTTTGGTTGTTTGTGTGAAGGGTGTGGCTTATCTTATCTCTCTCTCTGTGGTTTTGTTGTTAGTGTACAGAAATGCTATCCATTTTTGAGTACTGATTTTATATCCAAATACATTGCTGAATTTGTTTATTATACATAAGGTTTTTACAGTGTGGATTCTTTCACGTATTTAACAATAACTTTGTGTACTAAAAGCTTTACCAACTTACACACATGTATAGTTTCCCTCCATTATGAGACTTTTCATGTCTTTGACAATTACTGTTACTGCTGAAAGCTGTCTCAATATTCCTTACATTCACAGGGTTTCTCTCCAGTGTGATTTCTTTCATGTATTTCACAATCCTGGCTTGTGTTAAACCCTTTCCCACATTGCTTACATTTATAAGACTTCTCATGAGTATGAGATTTTTCATGGAGTTTACAATAGTCCTGTGTACTGAAATTTTTCCCACAATGCTTACATACATAAGGTTTCTCACCAGTGTGAGAACTTTCATGTACTTTAAAATAACTCTGTGTGCTGAAAACTTTCCCACAATGCTTACACACATAAGGCTTCTCACCAGTGTGAGATCTTTCATGTACTTTACAATAATTCTTTGTGGTGAAAGCTTTCCCACACTGCTTACATACATAAGGTTTCTCACCAGTGTGAGATCTTTCATGTACATTACAGTAACTCTGTGTCGTGAAAGCTTTCCCACACTGCTTACATACATAAGGTTTCTCACCAGTGTGAGATGTTTCATGTACTTTACAATTCTTCTTTGTAATGAAAGCTTTTCCACATTGCTTACATACAAAAGGTTTTTCACCAGTGTGAATTCTTTCATGTCTTTTACAATTCCTCTGTATACTGAAAGCCTTCCCACATTGCTTACATGCATAAGGTTTCTCACCAGTGTGAGATCTTTCATGTCTTTTATAACATACCTGTGTACTAAAAGCTTTCCCACACTGCTTACATACATAAGGTTTCTCACCGGTGTGAGCTCTTTCATGTCTTTTACAACACACCTGTGTACTAAAAGCTTTCCCACACTGCTTACATACATAAGGTTTCTCACCAGTGTGAGATCTTTCATGTACTTTACAATAACTCTGTGTGGTGAAAGCTTTCCCACATTGCTTACATACATAAGGTTTCTCACCAGTGTGAGACCTTTCATGTACTTTACAATATCTCTGTTCGATGAAAGCTTTCCCACAATGCTTACACACATAAGGTTTCTCACCAGTGTGAGACCTTTCATGTACTTTACAATATCTCTGTTCAATGAAAGCTTTCCCACACTGCTTACATGCATATGTTTTCTCACCAGTGTGAGATTTTTCATGTAGTTTACAATAACTCTGTGTGCTGAAAGCTTTCCCACATTGCTTACATACATAAGGTTTCTCAACACTGTGAGACCTTTCATGTAGTTTACAATAACTCTGTGTGCTGAAAGCTTTCCCACAATGCTTACATACATAACGATTCTCACCAGTGTGAGAACTTTCATGTCGTTTACCATAACTCTGTGTGCTGAAAGCTTTTCCACATTGCTTACATACATAAGGTTTCCCACCAGTGTGTGATCTTTCATGTAGTTTACCATAACTCTGTGTGCTGAAAGCTTTCCCACACTGCTTACATACATAAGGTTTCTCACCAGTGTGAGATCTTTCATGTAATTTACAAGAACTTTGTGTGGTGAAAGCTTTCCCACATTGCCTACATACATAAGGTTTTTCACCAGTGTGAGATCTTTCATGTATTTTACAATAACTCTGTGTGGTGAAAGCTTTTCCACATTGTTTACATACATAAGGTTTCTCGCCAGTGTGAGTTCTTTCATGTCTTTTACAATGGTCCTGTTTACTAAAAGCTTTTCCACATTGCTTACATACATAAGGTTTCTCACCAGTGTGAGCTCTTTCATGTCTTTTACAATTCCTCTGTATACTAAAAGTTTTCCCACATTGCTTACATACATAAGGTTTCTCACCAATGTGAGTTCTTTCATGTCTCTTACAATGCTCCTGTGTACTGAAACCTTTCCCACATTCCTTACTTACATACTTTTTCTCCTCCATGTGAACTGTTTCATCTTGTTGAGAAATACTATTTGTGCTAAAAGCTTTCCCACATTGCTTACATGCAGAGGGTATATCCTCACTGCGGTTTGTCTGATAGATCTGAACATCACTGGGTTTGCTGGAGACATTAAAGTTTTTTGGACATACAAACATGTTGTCTCTAAGATGAGTTCTTTCACTAAGACCAGAGCAGGATTTCTCACACTGATCATGTTCACATGGTTTCTTGCCAGCCTCTGTCCTTGCATGATTCTGAAAGCATTGCAAATCATCACAGTTTTTTCTATTTTCATTACATTTAAACAGCTTCCCTTTAAGTTCAAAATATTCATCTGGCTTTACCCCACTGTGAGCTCTGATTGGCATGTTTATTGAAAAAGGCCCAATCTGAAGCTTTCTAAAAGAAAGACTTTCAATTGGTTTTAAACCACATGATTTCTTATAGACATTAGCATCTAGATTGCAGAGGAAGCATTCTTTATGCTGATTCCAACCTTTATATTGATGGCATTTCTCAATGTTTTCATTTCTGTAAAAGATAAAGAGGACAATATAAAATGGCTCTCCATATCAATGATTTAATAGAGCACAAGCTTTTTAAATACATGCTAAGAAATTTGATAATAAGTTAAAAGAATACAAAATGGGATCTTTGGAGAAAGCTTTTCCTTAAAAAGTGGTATGTTTTTCAGATATTTTCAGTTGGTACATTTTATAATACGCTAATTGTAGTTTTATTTTGAGTAACTTATGTATAATAAATATTGATTAATTTTAATACCATTTCGTATTCAACCTTCATGTTCTTCTCTTATGCCATTTATCTTCCCCATCTCTAAAATATCACTTTCCTTTATCTATTACCTCTCAACTACAGATATACAAAATACCTAAAGGCAATGTCATACATATTTATGACGTTGACGATAAAGGAACATTTTTTATATTACAAATCTGATAGTGTCATTTGTATGATTTTACTTGTATTTGCATTTGTTATGTTGGAATATTTTTGTGTTTGGTTTTCAGACTGTACAACTCAAGTTGCATATAGTTTTGGAGAGTATTGGTGAAATTAATTAAATTTAAAGATGTATTGGTTTTTTGATTTTTGTGTGTCTCCTACTGTGTTGTGTTAAGGAGTATATATTTTTCTAGAAAGTGCAAATTACCTTATATTTCTGCAATAGTTATTGCAGTCTTCTTCCACTTTCCGGTTTTCCCAGAGTCTCTCTGGATTATAGACACAGAAGTAAAAGTAGTCACTACATTATTACATAAAAATTAACACATGCCAATTGGATTCTTGATATAATATAAGCAGGCCAGATTAATTTTTATAATTGTTTGCACATTCTATTTAATGAAACTGCACTGAAGAGCACAAAACAATCTCTTCTGAATGTATCAATAAGAAAGAGATTTTATTCTTACCTATAATCACAATGTTCTGAAAGGTTTCCTCCATCACATCTCTGTAAAGCTTCTTTTGCAATGCATTTAGCAAAGTCCATTCCTCACTGGTGAAGCTCACAGTCACATCCTCAAAGGTCACTGACTCCTAGAGGATCATACATATATTTCTTAAAAGAAAATCGAGACTAACAACCTGGACTATGTGAACCCATCTCACAAAAAATTGTAACTGAAAGCAAAGTGTGGAGGTGCATGTCTGTAATCCCAGTACTCAGGAGGCTGAGACAAGAAGATCATCATGACTTCAGGACCATTGTGAGCTACAGAGTGAGTTCAAGGTCAGCGTGATCTACATCATGAGATTCTGGCTAAAAAAATGAAACAGAACAACAAAAAAACCTGCTTCATGGTGGCTTATTTCAAAAAGCAATGGACATACCTGCAGCTTGAAAAATTATCAGCGTTAGATTCTGCAGTCCAATAAAAGTTATACAACACACAACTAATCTCTAATTCAGAAACTTACGGAGAGAAAGAAGCCACCAAGAATGCTTTTCAAAATGGTCACTGCAACTACCACCACTGGGGACTGGAAGGTGCTCATCCAGCCGAGCGGAGGCCGGCCCTGCTGCCGCCTCTCCTACCTGGGGCCCATACTATCACCTCTGGGGACCAGAAGGTGCGTGTCCAGCTGAGTGGAGGCGATTCTGGTCCAGCCCTGCTGCCGCCTTTCTCACCCGGGGCCCATACTACCACTGCTGGGGACCGGAAGGTGAGCGTCCATCCGAGCGGAGGCCGGCCCTGCTGCCGCCTGTCCCACCTGGGGCCCATACTACCAGCTACAGACCAGAAGGTGTGTGTCCAGCTGAGCGGAGGCGACTCTGGTCCAGCCCTGCTGCCGCCTCTCCCACCCGGGGCCTATACTACCACTGCTGGGGACCGGAAGGTGAGCGCCCAGCCCAGCGGCGGGGACTCAGGTCTGCCTGCAGCCTCCTCTGGCCAAGGAGCACACCACAGCTGCTGGCCGGAAGGAGGGAGCTGGGCTGAGCTGCTGAAAACTGCTCTGACCTCGCCTGTGACCTTCTTATGATCCGGAGAAAACCAGCACTACAGCCACTGCCTGGAGGAAGGAGCAGTCCCGCTGAGGAGGGGAGCTTTGCTACCAGAAGGGGAAACTGCAAATTGAGGAAGCTTTAGGTTTACCTGAGAGGAGCCTGGCAAGCCTCTTTTAATCCAGGGGCTCCACTGCCCAAGGAGGGAGTTACTACAAGAGGAGTCCTAAGAGTCCAGGACATAATTTACAACACGACCAGGGGAAACTCTGGAATAACACTTGAAACACAGTAATATAGGAAAATGACAAAACGAAAGACCAAAATGCAATCTCAAACATCCAACCCATCCCAAGAAAGCCTAGGAGCCATATACATAGAAGAAAATACATGCCATATACTTGAAACACCTCAAACAATAGTAACAGAAATAAAGAAGCAGCTCCAGGAAGCTTTGAAGGAATTCAAACTAGAAATAATCTATCAGATTAAAAGAAGAAATAATGAAAGAAATGAAGGAGATGCTGAACATATCTAAAGAAGACACAGCTAAAAAATTGGAGGAACTAAACAAAAGGATAGAATCTCTGGATGAACAATATAAGAAACAAACAGAATATATAAAACAGATGCAAAGAGATATACAGAAAATCAAAAGCAACATTGAAAGTTGTAATAACTGCCTGAATGAATACGAAGATAGAATTTCAGACCTCAAAGACAAGATTGCAGCCAGTGAACAGGAAAGGAAAGATCTTTTAAAAATAACAAGAAATCAAGAAATAACAATACAACACCTGCAAGATGACGCAAAGAAAAACAACATATGGTTGATAGGGATAAATGAAAAAGAAGAAGACAATGCAAAGGATGTCAAGGATATGTAGAGAATTAATTGCTGAAAACTTCCCAAACATGAAATTGGAAACTGATATCAGGATCAATGAGGCATATAGAACTCCAAATAGTCATAACCAAAATAAAACTACACCCAGACATATAATAATCACCATTCCAGAAATTGAACAAATACAATATTAAAAGCTGTCAAAGAGAAAATAGAATATTAAAAGCTGTCAAAGAGAAAAGACAGATCACCTATAAAGGAAAACCTATCAGAATCACAGCAGACTTCTCAACACAAACAATAAAGGCAAGAAGAGCATGGAGTGAAGTATTTCAGACCCTAAAGGAAAATGATTTCCAACCTAGACTGATGTACCCTGCAAAACTGTCCTTCAAAATTGGTGGAGAAATAAGATACGTCCTTGACAAAGAACAGCTGAAGAAATTCATGATCACCAAGCCAATCCTGCAAAGAATACTGAAAGACAGTCTAGATACACTTAAGAAAAAATCACTTAACAAAGACAATTAAATATAACAGAAAGATAAAGATGCAACAGCAGAAATATAACATGTCACTAATAAACCAATAGATAACAGTTATAGCCATTAATGTAAATGGTCTCAATGCACTAATTAAAAGAAATAGACTGGCAGAATGGATCAAGAAACAAAATCCAACCATATGCTGTTTACAATAAACCCATCTAACCCAAAAGGATACTCACAGACTGAAAGTCAAAGGATGGAAAACAATACTTCATAAAATAGGAACCCCCCAAAAAGCAGGGGTAGCTATTCTGTTTGCAGACAATGTGAACTTCAAACCAATAATGATCAGAAGAGACAAAGCAGGTCACTACATACTGGTTACGGGAAAACTTCAAGAGGAGGAGATAACTATCTTAAATATATATGCACCAAATTCCAAAGCAACCAGTTATATAAAACAAGTAATATCAGAAATGAAAACACACCATTGACATCAATGGACAGATCAACAGGACAGAAAATCAGCAAAGAGACAAAAGAACTGAATCACACCTGTGAACAAATGGAATTCATAGACATACACAGAGTATTCCACCCAACAACAACAGAATCCACATTTTTCTCAGCAGTACATGGGTCATTCTCTAAAATAGACCATATATTAACTCACAGAACATATTTAAAGAAATGCAAAAGTGTTGAAATCATCCCCTGCATGTTATCAGATCATAGCACTATGAAATTAGTAATTAATGATAAAAGATACTGCAAAAATCCCATAAACACATGGAAAGTGAATAACACACTCTTGAGTAATCAGTGGGTCACAGAGGAAATTAAAGAAGAAATTAAACAATACCTACAAACAAATGAAAACACAAATACAACTTACTGGAATCTGTGGGATGCAATGAAAGCTGTCCTCACAGGGAAATTTATTGCACTGAGTTCCCACATCAGGAAAACAGAACAAATACAAACAAGTAACTTGATGCTACACCTCAAACAGCTAGAAAAAGAAGAGCAAGTCAAGCCCAAAGCCAAAAGAAGAGAGGAAATAATAAAAATCAGAGCAGAAATCAATGCAATAGAGACTAAGAAAACAATACAAAGAATCAATGAATCAAAGAGTTGGTTCTTTAAAAGAATAAATAAAATTCATAAGCCCCTAGCCAACCTTATTAAAAAAAGGGAAGAAAAAGCTCAAATTCATGCAATAAGGAATGAAAAAGGTGAAATCACTACAGACCCAATAGAAATACAGAAGATCATCAACACATATCAAAAACCTCTACTCTCAAAGGTTTGATAACACAGAAGAAATAGACAGATTTCTAGAAGCATATGAAGTACCAAAGCTAGGTCAAGAAGAAGTAAAACTGCTGAATAATCCAATTTCTATTCATGAAATCGAAAATGTAATTAAGTCATTACCTACAAAGAAGAGCCCAGGCCCAGATGGATTCACTGCAGAATTCTACAAGAAATACAAAGAGGACCTAATGCCAACACTCCTCAAACTCTTCAATGAAATTGAAAGGGAAGCAATCCTTCCTAAGTAATTCCTGGAAGCAAATATTACTCTAGTACCAAAACCTGAGAAAGACCCAACTGAAAAAGAGAACTACAGACCAATCTCCCTAATGAACACAGATGCAAAGATCCTCAATAAAATATTGGCAAATAGGATGCAGCAAGTTATCAAGAAGATTATACACCATGACCAAGTGGGATTCATCCCAGGTATGCAGGGATGGGTCAATATACGTAAATCCATAAATGTAATCCACTATATCAATAGAGTCAAAGGTAAGAATCACATGATCATTTCTATAGATGCAGAAAAAGCTTTTGATAAGGTACAACATTCATTTATGATAAGAACCTTACAGAAAATTGGAATAGATGGTCTTTACCTCAACATAATAAAGGCCATTTAGGACAAACCAACAGCCAGTATTATACTAAACGGCCAAAAATTGAAAGCCTTTACTTTAAAATCAGGCACAAGACAAGGATGTCTCCTGTCACTGCTCCTATTTAATATAGTACTGGATATACTAGCCAGAGCAATTAGACATGAAAAGAAAAATAAAAGGCGTAAAGATAGGAAAAGAAGTTAAATTATCACTATTTGCAGATGATATGATACTGTACATAGAAGACCCCCAAAACTCCATTGAAAGACTCCTAGATATAATAAATAAATTCAGCAATGTGGCTGGATACAAAATCAATACTCAAAAATCAATAGCATTCTTATAACAACAAAATCACAGAGAGAGAAATAAGAGAAGCCACACCCTTCACACTAGCAACCAAGAAAATGAAATATTTAGGAATTACTCTCACGAAAGAAGTGAAAGACCTATACAGGGAAAATTATAATACATTGAAAAATGAAATTGAAGATGATCTCAGGAAATGGAAAGACATCCCTTGCTCATGGATAGGAAGAATAAATATTGTGAAAATGGCCATTCTCCCAAAACTTTTATACAGATTCAATGCAATCCCGATAAAAATACCATCAACATACCTCATAGATCTCAAGAAATCAATCCTAAAATTCATCTGGAACCAGAAGAGACCTAGAATAGCAAGGACAGTTCTAAGCAGCAGAGGCAAGGCAGGAGGCATCACAATCCCTGACTTGAAGTTATACTACAAAGCAACTGTAGTAAAATCAACATGGTACTGGAATCAAAACAGAGCCGAAGACCAATGGAATAGATTAGAAGATACAACTACAACT